TGGGAGGGGGGGGGGCTTGTAAAGGTAGGGTCAACTCTTAAAAGAATTCCAATATTTCTTACACCAACAGATTTTGCTATTCTACATTGGTCTAACCAAACACGCAGTTAGGCATAGGTGTAACTTTTGTGTGTGTGTGTGTGTGTGTGTGTTTTCCATTAAGCGTCAAAATGCATGTTATCCACTACATGTATCAGTTTAGGCGAACATTTTATTTTTCTCAGAACAAGTATGGCTTCGTCTCAGTTACTGTTTATGCTTCTCTTAGGGCGTCCGCAAAAAATCGAATTTAACACAAATTAACCAGAAAAAACTTTTAATACAATATGTATCAGTTTTGTTGTTTTTGCTTGAATGAAGTAGAAAAATATCCCCTACATCGATTGGGGTTGGTCTCAACGCTCAGAAATAATGCCTTTGAGGGAGAATATTTTGAGTGCCGAATGAGGGACATTTTGAATGTCGGAATAATGTTTTTGAAGGAATATTTTGCGCTCAACTTACTATAGCCAGCGCACTTCTGGCCACTTCTCTTCCCCGTACACCCCCAGCCCCTGTTTCTGTACCTGGCCTACCAGTCTGTCCACTGCCCACTACAGGTGCCGGAGGAGTACGAGAGAAGGTACAGTCACATCAAGGACGAGAACCGGAGACTGTACTCAGGTTGGTTTTGTTTAGTAGAGGGTTTTACGGCGCTCGCAACTGCATAAGGTCATATGAGCACCAAGGGGTGGATGTCAACAGAGAAGTCTTTACAGGAAATCAGACTTACTCTGCTCACCTCTCTAGCTTCAAGAGCACAAAGTCTGCTTCGACTATCAAGGCACCCCGGAAATAGCGGGTCACAAGAGTGTGACAAACATACAAAAAAAAGGAGAGGATAGAATGACAATAGTAAGGATTAGGAAAGAAAAAGCAGCAGTTTCCTGTTGTAGATCAGGCACAGTTATGAGCGAGACATTCTAAAATGTGAAGAATACAACCCCGAGGGTACAAAATGACCCCAGGGCGTACGGATAGGGTTAATCTCTCCCGTTCTCCTCCCCAGCTATGGTGGCCGCCATGGACGAAGGTATCGGGAACCTGACCCAGGCGCTCAAGGACAGCGGGCTCTGGGAGGACACCCTGCTCGTTTTTTCCACTGGTGAGTGACAACTGAGTGACCGCTGGGACACATTATGAGCCTGGTGTATCGGTCCACTTGTGAGTGACCGCTGGGCTACACAGTAGGCTTGGATTATCGGTCCCCTAGACGATCTACCGCGATAATGCAGTCAGCCTTAAGTCCCGCCTGACTGTTTAAGTCAGCTTGGCGGCAACCACAATAAAGCGTTCTATCATAATGTCTGCACGGGGTAATTTTCTTCTTCCACTCCCCATCATCCCACAAGTAGATGCACTACATTCGAGAGATCGTGGACGGGGGATCAGACGATAACTTTACTCTAGATCTAGTATAATTGTCGGCTTAGATTTCTTTGCTTGTGAGAATGATTAGTTGGGTTTACACGAAAGTTTAGATTTGGTAACATTTCTTCACTTGAGAAGTAAATAAACAGTGGGGTTAAAATGAAAATTTAGATTTAGCATGTTTTTTGTGTGAAATAAATATTTTGTCATGTCGTGGAAATCAAGAGTTGGGTTGAAACAAAAAGTTTAGAACGATGAAGTTTGAGTCATAATACGTTTTTGGGGACATGCGGAAACAGAAGATTGAGTTGGAATAAGCACTGAGGTCTAGAATAATTAATTATTTGCCTTAACTTTACTAGTAATTCCCTGGTATCTTTCCCGGCCTCCTCACCCCCCCCCC